TTAGGTCAGTGTTTCCCAAACTTCTCTCATGATGAGAATCACCTGGTGGAGTTGTTAAACTACAGGTTCCTGAATCCCAACTAAGAAGTGCTAAACTAGAATTTTTGGGGACATATAGGTAAAATCGTATACGTAACTAGTGCTCTAAGACTAACTTACAGGCTAGGGTACCAGCCTCTATGCGGTTGGGCAGTGAGGTAAGGCTGAGTGAGGCCTAGTTAAGTATACCATTTTACCTCTATGTTCCCAAAAATTCTAGTTTAGCACTTCTTAGCTGGGATTCGGGAATCTGTATTTAAACAACTCCGCCGGGTGATTCCCATCATGAGAGAAGTTTGGGAAACACTGGCTTAGGTAATGTGTGCGGCGGGACCCAAGGAAAGTACTTGGCCAATGGCATGCTCCTCTCTCTCCCTGGGAACGTCTGGGAGGAGGGAGCACGGGGACATCGGCAGCAAGCGGCAGAGCAAAGAGCCCAGGACTGAGAACCAGAAAGCCTGGACTTATAATACATCCAGTTCTGCCTCTTCATAGCCGAGTGCGCTTAGACAGGTCACTGGCCCTCCACACCGTGGGGAGGATAACCTCTCTCACATTTCCTAGTCGGAATGTAAAATGGAGCAGCTATCTATTCTACCTAACAGAAATGGCGAGAGTGGAAAGTTTTGTGATGTATATTTTATACAGAGCAAAAGGGCCCCCGAGAACAAACTTCGGGAAAGGTTGGCATGTGACATCGTGTCTGGATTTTCAAGGATCAAGCCCCATGGCCAAGCGGGGGAGGGCTTCGCCTCCTGTGAGGAGACAGCTGGCGGCCCGGCACCCGAGGGAGGAAGATGCAGTGTCTCGTCCGTAAAAACTGGGATTCAGAGACGCCCATAAACACAGCGCAGAAATGGCGTCTGCTTCTCTGATTTTTTTTTTTTTTTTAATATATTTTATTGATTTTTTTTTTTTTTTTTACAGAGAGGAAGGGAGACAGAGAGTCAGAAACATCGATGAGAGAGAAACATCGATCAGCTGCCTCCTGCACACCCCCTACTGGGGACGTGCCCACAACCAAGGTACATGCCCTTGACCGGAATCGAACCTGGGACCCTTGAGTTCGCAGGCCGATGCTCTATCCACTGAGCCAAACCGTAGGGCTTCTCTGAATCTTAGTTCCCGAGGAGGGGGACTCAGGAAAACCCTCTGTTGGAGGCAAACTTTGGGAGCTTAGAAACCAGGAATCCAAGCAAAAAGCCAGAGCTAGCATGCACCCAACATACACCCTCCCCACCAGGGACCTGGGCTAATTGCCTCAGCTATTATAGACTCTACTGTTTACATTCAGATTGCAGGTTGCTTAGCAACCTCAGGACTTAATAAAGGCTTTTTCCAGTTTTTAACCTGTTTTCCGTTGCTAAGGGGAACTCCTTTGGCAGGGAGCGTGGCCCACCCCTTGGCCAGGACGTGAATGGAATTACCCACCCCATGGAGCTAAGATTGACCTGGGGAAAGATGACCATAAAGAATAACAAGGAAAGACAGGATCTCATTAGGCATCCCTCACTGCTTCCTCCTAGCAACTAATTTCAGGGGGCTCTGGTTTTCATTTGAATTAAAAAATAATAATAATACCACACAGCTACAAGTTGTTGAGCTTTCATCATGTGCTAGTGCCCGAACTTTGTATGCATGTTTCTGTTTGTTCCCCATAAGAACCTCAGAAGTAAACCCCTTTGTATTCATTCACTCAATTTATTCAGATGGAAAACACACACACACACACACACACACACACACACACACACAAAGAAAACAAAAAGAAAACAAGCATTAAAAAGTTTTTACTTGCCCTAACCAGTTTGGCTCAGTGGATAGAGCGTCGGCCTGTGGACTGAAGGGTCCCAGGTTCGATTCCGGTCAAGGGCATGTACATTTGTTGCAGGCACATCCCCAGTAGGGGGTGTGCAGGAGGCAGTTGATCGATGTTTCTCTCTCATCGATGTTTTTAACTCTCTATCCCTCTCCCTTCCTCTCTGTAAAAAACTCAATAAAATATATATATTTTTAAAAAGTTTTTACTTGCCCACATTAGCCCGCTGCGAGCAGGTGGAGCTGGGATACAGACGTGGGCAACTGGACTCTGCATCCCCCTCTTCACGACCAAGTCATCTTGTCTCTCAGCCTCCCTTGCACATCTGTCTGCATCTCCCTTCTCAGCCACAAGAGGTGGATTCTTTGCGTGTGCTTCTCTCTCCTTTCCCACACTCACAGTGAGAGCCGGGGGCACGGGAAACCCCGTGCCCCGTGTATCTGTTGAGTGCTGTCCTGCATCAAAGCCGGGGTACGGAAAAAAATCAAACGGACTCTTTATGAGTCAGACGCCCTCATCTTTAACACCTAAAATAGCAATTCTCATTGCCCAGTCTGTACTCTCAAAGGCACAATAAAGGAAATAAAATTAAAAGTTCCTTCTTTTGCTGCCAAGAGTGCTGGCATTTTCCCAACTGCTGATGTCTTTTAACTGGCCTTATGCATTCCAAGGGACAATGATCAAGGCCAGTCCAACATGTCAGCAAGTGGGTGAGTGTCTGTGCACTGGGATCCAAAGGGTGAAGTGGGGGTGGCCACCGAGAGACCCTCCTGCCCCAGAAGATACACACCTGTAATTCCCCCTCAATCTTCAAGCCATTGATATGCAAACAGCCCCTAATGCCCTCTTAAATGTGCGTGGCCCTTTAATAACCTACAGAGAGTTGAATGCTCTTGAGAGATTACCCAGCACTTTTACTTGTCTCCTTCTGTCCTTTAGAAAATGCTTTGGGCCGAAACCAGTTTGGCTCAGTGGACAGAGCATCGGCCTGCAGACTGAAAGGTCCCGGGTTCGATTCCGGTCAAGGGCATGTACCTTGGTTGTGGGCACATCCCCAGTAGGGGGTGTGCAAGAGGTAGCTGATCAATGTTTCTCTCTCATCGATGTTTCTAACCCTCTATTCCTCTCTCTTCCTCTCTGTAAAAAAATCAATAAAACATATTTAAATAAAAAATAAAAAACGCTTTGGTGTTGGTATCACTTTTCTTATATGTGAGGGGTTTTTTTAAATTTGATTTTATTGTTTAAAATATTATAAATAGTAATACATATACCTCTTTCCCCCGCCCCTCCATTGACCTTCCTCCAGCCTCCCCTACCACGTGTTGCATGCCCTCATCCAGTGTCTTATGTCCATTGGATGTGCTTACGTGCATGCATACAAGTCCTTCGGTTGATCTCTTCCCCCTACCCTCTCACCATCGCCATTCCCAACACTCCCCAGCCTTTCCGCTATAAGTTGAGTTTGTTCGATGCTTTACTGCCTCTTTTGTTTGTCAGGTTATAATGTTCTTTATTTTCCACAAATGAGTGAGATCGAGTGGCATTTTTCTTTCATCGCCTGGCTTATTTCACTTAGCACAATGCTCTCCAGCTCCGTTATGTGTGAGGGGCTGGAAGCTCACTGGTGATTAGCAGAGCTGGGACAGTATCTGAGGCTTTCCCCTCCAGGGTCCTCTGGAGGCAAGGTGTTTGCAGTCACGAACACTCTTTACCCAGTTCCTTCCCCTGGCGGAAGCCTGGGCCCGGGGAAGGAAGCTGTGATAGACGCACTGAGGGCCGAGTCCAGAGGATGGAGAAGGAAGGCAGGCCCCGGCGGGGGGCAGGTCCACGGCGTGTACTCTTGTGGAAAGACAGGGACCTGGGGTCTGGAGCCCTGGGTTCCACCTCCACCGGGTTCCTAAGTCACCCTGAGCCACGCACACGTGTCCGAGTCTCCACTTCTCTCCGTGCAACACGGAGAAAGAGGCCTGGTGGTTCAGGTCTGCTCCAGCTCTTGAGGCATCTTTTAGAGTAGGGGTGTCGAACTCAATCAGAGAAGGGGCCAAAATCTAAAATCCAGCCTAAATCGAGGGCCGAATGGTTTACTGAACAGTCATAAACTGTCATTGTGATGGAAACGCAGCGGAGTGCAGTGATGACAGCGCGGTGCGGGCCACATTGCAAGGCCTGGCGGGACGGATTTGGCCCGCGGGCCTTGTGTTTGACACATGTGTTTTAGAGTCAACGGATCTGCAGGTGCTACTATGAGACAGGGTAATCAGTACACATTATTTATTTATTTTTTCCTGAAACTGCTCTTTTTTTTAAAATTTTATTTTATTTTTTAAATATATTTTATTGATATTTTTTATAGAGAAGAAGGGATAGGGACAGAGAGTTAGAAACATCGATGAGAGAGAATCACCGATCCGCTGCCTCCTGCACACACACACACACACACACACACCCACTGGGGATGTGCCCACAACCAAGGTACATGCCCTTGACCGGAATCGAACCCGGGACCCCTCAGTCCCCAGGCCGATGCTCTATCCACTGAGCCAAACCGGTTTTGGCAGTACACATTATTGTTGAGAGTTTAGCTAAGCTCTTCCATGGTATTGCTGTCTCTGCATCCTTTTTTTTTGGCCAAGTGACCTGGTGGGGGCTTTAACATGACACTAGCCCCACCATGCAAACACATGCCCTGCATAGCAGCTCACAGAGTAACATGCAAATGGAAGTTTCTGATGCAACTTCCCAGCAGTCCTTCTGGGCAAGTCTCCCTCTCCCCCTTCCGTACCCCGCCCCTTAGGTAAGAGTCTCTCACCCGTTTACCCAAACCCCCGCTCTTTTTGTTTGAATTGACTAATCCCGCCGTAGCCTGAGAACCTCCAGAGCATTCTACAAGCTCTACCAAAATATGTAATTGTAGCCAGCAGGTGCCCAGGCGAGGCCAATGGGCAGGGGCCTCCTTCACCTCAGAGCCTGCCGGGGGGCCTGTGACTGTCAATAAAGGTTAAAAAAAAAAAAAAAAAAAAAAATATATATATATATATATATATATATATATGTGTGTGTGTGTGTGTGTGTGTGTGTGTGTGTGTGTAATCGTAATCATCATTTGGGGAAGAAAAACACATAAGAACGCCTTTTATCAAAGATTTTTATTTCTTTTATTATAAGATATATAGGTAAACACTTGTATATTCTAGAAAAGATATAAAATGATAATAAAACGGACATTTTTCTTATTAAGAAACATGTCATAAATATGCTTTATCAAATGTTAAAATGGTTATTATTTTTGCAAAATAACAATAAATAGAGCAGAGCTGTGGGATACAAGAGTCAACGCAAAGTGCCCGAAGTATTTATGTTTTTGCGTCATAAAAATTCGGGCCTTTGATAATAGCATTGTAAAAATGTGGTACTTGGCACTCCCGATGATCAATCATTCAGATTTCAAAAGCACTTTTGTGATGGCCTCACCATGGTAAAAATAATGCAACGTAAAAGGTGGCTGGGCTAAGTTCATTGGATGGAAATAAACTGCCCTGAATAAAAAATGGTAAGACACCGAAGTGAAGAAATAATTTTTGAAACCCCATAGCGGTACATGTGGCAGTCCTCAGTTCTACAAGTTCTGGGATCCCCAGCTGTGAGCGCTGAGCAAACACCGTTTGCGAGGTTTGGTTCCCAGCAGGCCCACCGATTCCTGCCACCACTCTGATGGAGCCAGAACAGTCACCAGGACCTCAGTCCACCGTCCTAGCTGCACAGACACAAGGAACCTCCTCCCGGAATAAACCCTCTTCTGATTATGACGCCGTGGCCTCAAATTCAAATAGCAGAAGCCTGGGGAAGTTTGTAATAATGAAATGTTATTTTTCTAGGCGTTCTTTTAAGGCTTCGATTCCCTACTACCCATGGGAAAGAGGCAACGCATGTGGACACCAAACACATCCTCTCAGGTGTGTTGGGCGTTCAAGTCGCAAGGCCAGGCGTTTCCTGTCAATACACGGCGGCTCTTCACGAAGACCTCCCCTTTCCCGTGCATTCCGTGGCCCCTCAGGCTCACACGTACACTCCCAGCTGCAGGAGGGGAGACCATATCTAACGATAGTTAAGGATTCAATCTAATGTAGATTACCGGTCCCAATGGCCTTCAGCGATGGCCCCGAGGGGGACATCGGGGTGGCTCGGGGTGCCTAGAGCACAGAGAGGTCGTGGCAGGACTTGGACTTGAGCTTGAAGGCCATGCTCTTGTTTTTGGCCACGATCTTGCCCCAGAAGCGCCTGGCCTTCCTGGGGATGCTCTCCCTCCGCTTCTGGAGGGCCAGCCGCCGCTCGTTCTTCTCCTTGCTGTCCCTGCGGAGGCGGACCTGCCGCACGATGCCCTCGAACAGCTCCTGCACGTTGTGCTGCACGGCCGCCGACGTCTCGATGAACTTGCAGTCGAACACCACGGCGCAGGCCCTGCCTTCTGCGGGGAGAGGGAGGGAGAGCTCAGAGGGCTCCTGGTCCTAAGTGGCCCTCACAGTAACTCTGAGTTGGTCGTACATGCAGGGAGCGCGGGAAGCCCCTCGGACACACACGTGTCCTCCCAGGGCATCCTCAGAAGCAAAGGAGCCTCTTCCTGGAAGCAGGAGACCTGGCCCACCACCTTCACTGCACAGAAGGTCCCAGCTCATCAGAACAGGGATATGTATCATCACAGTCCAAACCACAGCCTTCATCGACTGCCCTTACCACGTGCTGGGAACTGCTTTGTAAACCCTTCTGAATGCTCACCATCGTGAAAGGTACATCCTCCCTCTCAGAGAGAGAGAGAGAGACTGGGGGGAGGGCGGGCTTTTAAGGACTTGAGGGAGTTCGAACAGCCTGTGGGTGGCATCTGGGAATCCAGGCCTGCTTCATGCTCTAGCTCATGTTCTTAACTCTTCCTCCAGGCTCTGTTTCCTGCATTGAAAGTAAGAGTCCTACTACGAGGCTTTCTCCCTTTGGGAAATGTTTTAAAGTTTTGATGAGCCATTTTGGGGGGGAAAAATAATAATTTGAGGAATACACAAATTCAGCAAACTCTACAAGCTTTCCTGGAACAGCCTCAACTGCAAATGTTCCATGGTGTTTGATGACCATGTGCCCAAGGTTTGGTTTGAAATAAAATGATTACCGCAGACATTCATTTCCTGACACTCCAACCAAGGTGTGCCCATTAAGCCTTTACCAGATACCTTTTCTCCTGAGCAGAGCTGGTAATGCAGTGTTTTATTTTTTTACCATTGTGCCAAACCCAAAAGATGTCTCAACTGAAGTTTAGGAAGCAAAGGGTAGGAGGGTGTTTTTAGGGTCTACAGCAGTGGTCTGCAAACTGTGGCTCGCGAGCCACATGAAGCTCTTTGGCCCCTTGAATGTGGCTCTTCCACAAAATTCCATAGCCTGGGCGAGTCTATTTGAAGAAGTGGTGTTCGAAGAAGTTTTTAAGTTTAAAAAATGTGGCTCTCAAAAGAAATTTCAATCGTTGTGCTGTTGATATTTGGCTCTGTGGACGATTGAGTTTGCCGACCACTGGTCTACAGGAACTAGAGGCAGCCTGAGCAGAATTCTTATCCTCAATGAAACCCAGTTCCCCCGAGTCAGGTATCCCCTCCTTCTCGCACGAAGATACCGCCTCTGCTTCCCCGAGCTCTCTGAGGTCTCCAGGGAAAACAAGAGGGACCAGCAGAAAAGGTTTGGGGTTGCCAGAAACCCCCTGAGTATGACATCTTCCCTAGAGGAATCCCAGGGAAACCTCTGGGTGTGGGGAGCCTGGAATCCCGCAGGTAGGCCAGATGAACAGGGAGCAGCACCCTGCACGGAGCTGAGTGGCGGGGGGAGGTAGGAGAGTTTGATAGGACCCATAACACTCCACAAAGCATTCCAGCGAGTCCCTGGTCCCACCTCCACGAAGGAGGGAAGGAAGAATACCTGTCTGAAAGAAAGCCCAGAGACTGTTCCTATGGTGTTAGCACCAGTCCTCTCACCTGAAGTAGACACCTCCCGGCACCGCACCAGGTCGCTTTTGTTGCCAACCAAGATGATAGGAATGTCCTCCGTCTGCCGGGCCCGGCGGAGCTGGATGCGCAGCTCGGAGGCCTTCTCAAAGCTGGCTCGGTCTGTGATGGAGTAGACGATCAGGTAGGCGTCCCCGACCTGCATGCAGTGGTCCTGGAGCCACTCATTCTCCCCCTGATGGAAGGAGAAGGTCTCCCGTGAGTGCAGGTCGGTTAATGAGGCATCCGTTTGCAAAGCAAGGGTACCCTGGCGTACCCTGGCTGGTCTGAGGTGGGAGTGAAATTTGTCCCAATTCCCCAAAAGGCACCATGTCTGGTGGCTGTACAGACTGCTAGCCCATAAAATACTTGCCAAAAAGTGTTTCCTGCCCAATTGCGTTGGTAACTTATACAATGACTGCCAAACATTTCCATTCCCTGTCTAAACTTCTAAAAATGTGCCTTTTCTGACTTCCCAAAAACTCCCTTTGCCTCGCCCCCGGTGATAACATTAAGAATTGTCTTGCAAGAATGAGGAGGTTTTTCAACAAACAGGAAGTCTAGCATCCATGCACAGAAGCCCAAATCTTTAAACGGCAAATGTTGAAGGCTAGTATTGATTGAGGCTGTCAACTTTACATGATGTGGTTTTATCTAGTTTAAAATTACCACTCACACTTGTTGGCTCTTTCCCTAAAGCAAATATCTTTTAAATATTTTTTTTGTAGAACGAAGGGCAAATCACTGCAACTTGCTTATGATTCAGAGCTCAGGTGTGAATGACCTGCTCCTTAGAACAGGGTCATACTTCAGAAGTAAAAGCTTTCTCTTTTTTGTATTTGGGGAGTTAAGGCATTTCATTTTATTTATATTTATCTTTATTGTTGAAGGTATTATAGATGTCCCCTCCTTTTTTCCCCCATTGACTCCCTCCACTCTGCACACACACCCCCACACGCTATTGTCTGTGTCCATGGGTTACGCATGTATGTATACAAGTTCTTTGGTTTCTCTCTTCTCATCCCCGCCCTCCCCACCTTCCCGCTGAGAGCCATCAGTCCGTCCCATGCTTCTGTGTCCCTGGACCGATTTTGTTCATCAGTTGACTTTGTTCATTAGATTCCACATACGAGTGAGACCATGTAAAAGCTTTTAACCAAGAGAATGAATCTACCTCTACCGGAACACCAAAAAGGACAAGGTCACCCTCACACCCAGCGGCCCATTGGCAGACAAAGCCGGAAGGAATTCACGGAGCGCGCTGGGCCCGCATACCTTGTTTTCCCACATGTCCAGGAGTATGATGGTCGTGCTTTCCCCATCGACAACCAGTGTCCGCTCGTACGTATCTTCTAAAAGAGAAAGAGCAGTGATATCTGTCAGGCAAACAGAAACACTTTTGTATAAGATGATCATAAAAAAAAAAAAAAAAGCAACGCTAGAAAATAAATTAACTAAATATATAATGAATTACGTAGCTCTCCAGGTATTCATAAGGCACATGACTACCTTTTATCACCTTCAACAGCATTCTACGTCTATTCCTCCAGTACTTACAAGCAGAACACCTCTGAATGTGTATCCCTAGACCAGAGGTCGGCAAACTGCGGCTCGAGAGCCACATGCGGCTCTTGGGTCCCTTGAGTTTTTAGCAAAGGCCAGCTTAGGAGGACCCTAATTAAGTTAATAACCATGTACCTACCTATATAGTTTAAGTTTAAAAAAATGTGGCTCTCAAAAAAAATTTCAGTCGTTGCACTGTTGGTATTTGGCTCTGTTGACTAATGAGTTTGCCGACCACTGGCCTAGGCCGCTTGCCGTGAAAGGCACTCCTGTGCGTCGTTCCTGGGCCTTTTCTAGAGGAAAACCCTGTCTGAGTGCAAACTCGCGTTAGAGCTCTGACTCAGCTTCAAGCTCCGATGCCATGAGAAAACACTACCTGCCCGATGGAACTGCCAGCCTCCTTCCCAAGCCTCACACCCCACCTGCCCTGCAGCTGGATGGCTACTGGGCATTCCCTGGCAATTTCAGGAACTTGGAGCTCAGAAACTTTCTCTCTCTCTCTCTCTCTCTCTCTCTCTCTCTCTAGACATGCAAGAAAAAATATCTTGAGACTATCCCTGTTCTGTTTTCTTCCTTAAAAAAATACATTTCCCTCGGAATACAAAAGACGTGTTTCCCTTACCTCCTCCTGGGTGAGGCGTCCCCTGGCCATCTATTTAAACACCTCTTCTCTGCTAGCATCCCTCCCTCCCGCTCTGCTTTTCTTCATTGTGCTCATCGCCATCTAACGTGCAATCCGTGTAACTGACTTACTGGACCACTTTATGTCTCTCTCCTCCTAACGGGATGACATGGATTTACGTCTGTGCCGTTCTCTGCTGTAGCCCCCAGCTCCCAGGCCAGGGCCTGGAGTATTGCGCGTGCTCGGTAAACGCTTATGAAATGAATGAAGGAGCCATAAAGATGGCCCCAGTCATCCCCCAGCCTTCACAAAGAGAGAGGAAAGCAGTGGTCCAACAGGGACCCTCTCTCTCCCTTGGCTCTCATTTAGCTACAGTCCCCCAGAGCCCAGCGTGAGAAGAGACATCCATGTCCTAATGAGTCATCACTGAGAGCCCAGAACCGGAACGTGCCTTAAGAAGCAGTGAATTCCCTGACACTGGCGACAGTCAAGAGGAATAAACAGCTGAGACCGGACTGGCTCAATGGATAGAGCGTCGGCTTGGGGACTGAAAGGTCCCGGGTTCGATTCCGGTCAAGGGCATGTACCTTGGTTGCAGGCACATCCCCAGTAGGGGGTGTGCAGGAGGCAGCTGGTCGATGACTCTCTCATCGATGTTTCTAGCTCTCTATCTCTCTCCCTTCCTCTCTGTACAAAATCAATAAAATATATATTATTTTTAAAAAAAAAAAAGAGGAATAAACATTGCATGGACGTGAGCAGACAGTACTAAGGATGGAGCGAGATTTCTATGCAGCCCTAACCGGTTTGGCTCAGTGGATAGAGCGTCGGCCTGCGGACTGAAGGGTCCCAGTTTCGATTCCGGTCAAGGGCATGTACCTTGGTTACGGGCACATCCCCAGTGCGGGGTGTGCAGGAGGCAGCTGATTGATGTTTCTGGCTCTCTATCCCTCTCTCTTCCTCTCTGTGAAAAATCTATCATATATATATCTTGAGACTATCCCTGAGACAGACCACGCCATTTGGGCAAGCCCTGGAAAGTTCTCTCTTCATGTCCCAGCTGCCAACCAGGACATGCAGCCACCCTGGCCGGGCAATGCTAGGATGGAAACCGTGGCTAAAAGCCCTGGTATGGATGCCACGGACAAGGAGGCTCTTCCCATCACGTCCCGAACGTAGCGCTATGCTTTGCACGAATGTGCCTGAGGCCCCCATGCACCAGCGTACTTTGGAGACCAGGTCGCCTCAAATCAGTTTTGGAACTAGGCCTGGCTTCCATAATAAATGCCTTACATGAGGTGGCGCAGGGGAAATGGTCTGGGGGGGGGGGGGGGAACACGGTAAAACTCGATATAAACATATGTATCATTATTGCTATAATTCAAAAAAATTTTAAAGAGATTGCACTATTGCAAGTACAAATCTTAAACTATTTTACACCCTCCAAGAACGCTCACACTGGTGGAAACAAAGTGATGGATCGGCTCCTCAAATCGGCTGGTTTTGGGAAGAGCCACGGGGAAGAGCCGCCTCTACGCTGAGCTCTTGCAAAGCCCAGGGCGGAGGGGCAGGGGCCAGAGGGGGGCGCCCGGGCCTCTTGCTCTGGCCGGTTCCCCAGCGCCGCCGCCACCGCCCAGTCCCGTTAGGGCGGGGCCCCCGGAAACCCCCTCCGGCGGAGCAGTGTCTTTGCGCATTTCCATCTCTTGTCCCGCCAGCCCTTTTCGGTGCCCAGAAGGCTCCGCAGGCCTCAGCTCTGGGCTCCTGCGGACCCGAGGGAAGCCTCCGCCTACCTGCCAGCACCTCGCAGTCGCTGTCGGCGCCGTCCACGCCCGCGAAGATGCCGGCCAGCGTGGACTTGCCGGCGCCGGGCGCGCCCAGGAGCACCACGCGGAGGCCGGCGGCCTCGGGCTCGGAGGACAGCGCCGAGTCGGCGGAGCCGGAGGACCAGCTGCGGCGGCCGGGCGCCCCGGGGGCGGGCGCGGGCGCGGCGGGCGCGCGGGGCGGCGGCTCCGGCGGCGCCTCCAGCGGCTGCACCTCCAGGGCCCCGTCGGCGGGGACGCTCCAGCGCTGCTGCGGCTGCAGGCCCGCCGCCCGGCGCAGGGGGGCGCCGTCCAGGGTCATGGCGGGCTCCTGCGGGCGGAGGGGCGGCGGGGTGAGCCCGGCAGGCACACAGCCCGCCGTCCGGGGACCCACAGAAGGGCCGTCAGGGAAACCGTCCCCAAGTCCAACAGCTTTCCCAGCTGGACACACACACACACACACAGGCACATACACACACACAGGTGCACACACAGGCACAGGCACACACACACACACACACAGAGGCACATACACACACTCACACACACACACGCACACACACACACACACACACGCACACACACACAGGCACATACACACACACAGGCACAGGCACACACACAGGCACATACACACACACTCACACACACACACACGCACAGGCACACACAGGCACATACACACACGCACACAAACACACACACAGGCACAGGCACATACAGGCACACACACAGGTGCACACACTCAGATGCACACACACACAGAGGCACAGGCACAGGCACAATCAGGCACCAGCTCCTTGGCCAGGTTGTCACTGGCAAAGAGAAAAAAGTACCACGAGCATCGCCCGCCGCCCGGACCGCCCCCCCCCTCCCCCGTCCTCCGGGAGCCTGGGCCCCCGCCCCCTTCCCCAGCCGCCCAGAGCCCCAGCCGGCGGCGCGGCCCCGGGCGGGGGAGCCGGAGGGCACGGCGGGCCGGGGGGCCGGGGAGGGGCCGGGGAGGGGGGCCGGGGCCGGGGAGGGGGCCGGGCCGGGCTGACCGCGGTCCGGAGGCGCCGGTTGGGGCCCGGGGGCCCGGGGACACGGGGCCGGGACCTCAGCCCGCGGGGGACCGCGCTCACCGCACCTCCAGGGTTAGTGAGGCCGCCCGCGCCCTGCGGCCGCCCCCACCCGCTGCCATGGGAGGGGGGGCACCCGCCTCTGCTGGAGGCCGGGCCCGCTGCCCTCCCGCCCGGACACCGGGGTGAACGCCCGGCCGCCGGCCCGGACCGCGCCCTCCCGCCGTCAGGGCCGCAGCGAACACGCCCCTTCGGACCCGGGAGGCGCTCCCCGCGACTCACCCCCTCCCCCTTCCCCTCCTCCCAGCAACACAGGCCCAGGGCTCTCCGTCCTCAGAGGGCGGCCACCCGCCTGGCCAGGCGCCCTCTGCCAACCCCCTGCCCCTGCCCCTGCCCCTGCCCTGCCCCTGCCCCTGCCCCTGCCCTGCCCCTGCCCCTGCCCCTGCCCCTGCCCCTGCCCCTGCCCTGCCCCTGCCCCGGGGCGGCCCGTCCTGCGGGGGCCCCCACGCAGCTGCAGCCCGCTCACCTTCATGGCAGGATCCACCTGAGAACCGAGGAGCGCAGACACGCCCCCCCTGCACACCCCACCCCGCACCCCACTCCACATCCCACCCCGCACCCCACTGCGCACTCCACTGCACACCCCACTGCACACCCCACCCCGCACCCCACTGCACACCCCACCCCGCACCCCACTCCCCATCCCACCCCGCACCCCACTGCGCACTCCACTGCACACCCCACCCCGCACCCCACTGCACACCCCACTGCACACCCCACCCCGCACCCCACTCCCCATCCCACCCTGCACCCGCCACGCCCCCGCACGGACGCCCGCCGGGGGCTCTCCCCTCCGGCACCGCAGCGGCACCCGCACCCGCCCGGAGCCCGCAGGGCCCCGACGGCTGCAGGAGGGTGACCCCCGCTGGAGGGGTGGCCCCCGCTGGAGGGTGGCCCCCGCTGGAGGGGTGACCCCCGCTGGAGGGTGGCCCCCGCTGGAGGGGTGACCCCCGCTGGAGGGGTGGCCCCCGCTGGAGGGTGGCCCCCGCTGGAGGGGTGACCCCCGCTGGAGGGTGACCCCCGCTGGAGGGTGACCCCCGCTGGAGGGTGGCCCCGGCTGGAGGGTGGCCCCCGCTGGAGGGTGACCCCCGCTGGAGGGTGACCCCGCTGGAGGGGTGACCCCCGCTGAGCCGAACCGAACCCGAGAACCAGCCGGGACCGGCTTCCAGCCTCCCCATCCCGAGCGCCACCCGCTCCGCACAGGGCAGTTTCGGGTCTGGGAACCCCCACCTCCCCGGGTCCCTCCTGGCGGCGGCGGAGCCCCCGTCCCCCCGGACCTTCTGTCCCCCCGGAGCCCCCCGTCCCCCGGAGCCCCCCGTCCCCCCGGACCCCCCGCCCCCCGGAGCCCCCCGTCCCCCGGAGCCCCCGTCCCCCGGAGCCCCCGGTCCCCCGGAGCCCCCGTCCCCCGGACCCCCCCGTCCTCCGGAGCCCCCGTCCCCCGGAGCCCCCCGTCCCCCGGAGCCCCGGCCCCCGGCCCCCCCGTCCCCCGGACACCCCGTCCCCCGGAGTCCCCCCGGAGCCCCCGTCCCCCGGAGCCCCCCGTCCCCCGGAGCCCCCCGGAACCCCCCCGTCCCCCGGAGTCCCCCCCGGCCCCGGCCCCCCGGCCCCCGGAGCCCCCCGTCCCCCCGGAGCCCTGTCCCCCCGGAGCCCCCTGTCCCCCCCGGAGCCCCCTGTCCCCCCCGGAGCCCCCCGTCCCCCCGGAGCCCCCTGTCCCCCCGGAGCCCCTACCTGGCCTGGCCGCGCGGGCATCCTCGGTGCGGCGGGCGGCGGGGCCCGGGTTTATAGCGGCCGCGGCCCGTGACGTCACGCCGGGGGGTGCTCCGCGGAGCCGGCGGCCTCTCCCTCCGGCGCTGACTCGCCTCCACGTGACCCCTCTCCCCCTTTAAAAAAATAAACGCAAAAATAACGCCAGTCCCATCCCTGGCTGTTTAACTTGGTTTTCTTTCCTTTTCGCTGGTGGATGCAGGGGGATGGAGAAAGACACGAGGGGCCACTACATTGAGCTTCGAGGCAAAAAAAGAAAAGAAGAAGAAGGAAAAAAAAGCATTTGCAAACGGCCTGGGAAAGGATGGAGGAGGCGGCAGGTGTGAGTTGAGAGACCAGCTTTTGCCAAAACAAAACCAGGGGCCAGCCAGGCCCGCGGAGACGCCGGCCTTGAGCAGGGCTGCGGCCCCTGTGCCCTCCGGCCCCTGCTCGTGGGGCAAGGAGAGCCCTGCACCATGTTGGCTTCCCTTCTGGGACAGGGATTCAGGGAGAGGGGACCAGAGGGGAGGGCAGGGGACAGCACCTTGGAAGGGGCAGCTTTGAAAGACAACTGAGGCTCCATCAGTGGATGCTGCCTGCCCGCCCTCCTGCTCTGGGTCAGGATGCTGAGCCTTCAAGCAGGGAATTGAATCATTAGCGTCGGCATCTGCAACGCTGTGCCAGGAGCCTGGGCCCGGGCATGGAGCCAGTCCGTGCCTCCCAAACATGGGGAGGAGCCCTGAGCTAGACTCTGGTCTCCACTGTCCTCTCCCTCCTCCCTAAGTCCCTGTGCATAAAGGACAGAGGATAATAACCATCACCACTACCAGGTACTAAGCACCTGTCATCTGTAGGCACTGTTAGGCCTCTGCAGTACTCAGTCCTTGCCACAGTTCCACACGATGGATGCATTGGTACCCCCATTCTGTGGAGGGGGAATGACCCGGCCACAGAGCTACCCAAGGTCACACAGCTCATGTCACAGCTCATGTCAGGGCAGAGTCGGGACTCAAAACCTGGTCTGCCTGACTCTTTGCACTGCACCACCAGCTGAAGGCTGCCAGCGACCTCCTTCTGGGGACACAGGCACCCCCAGATGCTGGGTTTGGTGATGACAGTGGCCGTTCCAACACTCCCATCCTCCTTTGCAGCCAGCTTCATCTCCGTGTTGGCTGGTGGCCCCAGGAGGCTGCCAAAGGCACCAGGATCTCTGTTCGTGGCCAGATGGCTATGAGTCGAGTCCATTTTGTTATGCTACAGCCAATTCACATTAGCACTGAAGATTATCCACATTAGAGCTGCTAGCAGGTGGATAATAGGGCGGCCAGGTGGTCCTAACAGGCCAAGGTGGAACCCATGGGTTTTAGAGCGCCTGCAAGTCCAAGTGCCCTGACCCCAACCTCCTGCTTCTTTTGTCCACGAGGGAGCTGGGAGCCAGAGGGACGCCCTCCCCTGAGTGAGGAGATGGCAGAGCTGGAATGGAGCGTGGCTGTCACCCTGTCCTGGACGGTGCCCTGCACTTCGATCAAGTCTTTCTTCCGGGCTTAGCCGGAACGAAATGGAAAGAGATGTGGGGAAAGAAGGTGGGGGGAGGGAGGATAAGGAGAGAGAGATCACCAAGGAGTGTACTGCTGACTCCATGCTAAAACACAAGAAGAGTAACTTGTGAATTCCCCTTTATCTGCACTTCAGAATTACCCATGCTTTTTCCATGCTGAGCTTCCAACTTTGCTAACTGGCCTCAAAAGAAACAGTATATGGGTAAAGTCAAGAATAAATCTGAGTGTATAAGAATACCTAATAACCTTTTAATCTATTCTTGCCCATTGATAAGAACACAGTTCTTCACACTAATAAGAACCAAATTCTACGCATAGGCAAAAACCACCGTGTACTATTTTTCATTGGTATATGTGAGGCTCATGGAGAAAACACTCTCCATGAAGACTGGAGAGCAAGTGAGCATTCAGTCCAGCATGGGGTGGGGCAGTATGGCCACACTGTGTTTGAATTTTTAAAAAATCTGCTTTCTTAGGTTTTCTGTCCCACAAGAAGCCAAATGAGAAAACAATTATTAGGAAAAGTTTCGGCTGAATAGCAGTTAAAGTTTGAGTGAATGTTTATAGCAAAATCAGTTACACCTGGGCCAAAGCTATTGGCTTCCAGCTCCCTGGGACCAGCTGAGGGTATGAAACTGAGGAGGGGAGAGGGGAATTAGGGCATTTCGGGAAAAGTGGCAAGTTCTTAAAAGGACAAAATGGCAGAACTTTGTAGTTTCTTATTCTACGAACTATTCTGTTCATATTCTTTCCGCAGCAGTTGAAGGCTTCCTTGGTTTCTAGCTAACATAAAGAAGAGTGTGGCTATAACCGGTTTGACTCAGTGGATAGAGCATCAGCCTGCGGACTGAAGGGTCCCAGGTTCAATTCCGGTCAAGGGCATGTACCTTGGTTGCGGGCACATACTCAGTGGGGGG